TATTGCAGACAGAGCTGTCAGAAATATTTTTCTCATTTCTAATCATCTCTTGTTTTCTTGACAAGAAAAAAAAAGATGAGAAAAACCATATTGATTTTTCTATTTTCATGTTACATATTTTCTCTTGAGCAAAAGAAGAGGAAAAAACTAAATTAAATATCCTTCAATAAGAAACCAAACCTTTGTTTGTATTCAAATGACGTTTAAATAAAAAAGACATTCTATAAGATCAAATTATTTTTAATATTTAGACATACTTTATTTTCAAGACAAAAAAAAGGAAATAAAAAACGTAATAGTCAAGTAACATCAATATATATCATTTATTCTAACTATTCACAAAAAATATCCTATTATATGTTGATTATTTATTTGTTCTAATAAAATAATCAATATTTTATATTCTCAATATTGTTTGATTTCTTTTTTTAATTTATGTCCGTGAGTAATTAATATTTCATTAATTATTAAATTTTAATCAGAACTTCGTCAGTATAATTCATCAAGAACAATTCTATGTGGAGTAGTAGTAGAGACAGGGGTAGCTGAGGATAGCATCAGAGAGAATTTGAAAGCTGTGTTAATGTAATCCATTGTGTTAATTAGAGTGTACTTAACTTACTATGATCTCATTTTGAGCTGAAACACTGGCTACACCACTAATGTCGACATAGAATCATATAACTGAAATTTCGATTGGCCGATCTTTTTCGTTTATTGAAATAACAATGATAAAACGAATTTATTCTTTATTTAAAGGAATAATCGTATTAATTGAAATACAATTTAATCGTTTTCAATCGAATGAATTGAATTTTAACGTAAAAAAAAGATCTTATCAATGAAAAAGTCAGATTAATAGAGAAAAACAGTTAATCAACTTATTGAAATAAATGTTAAAATTTTAAATATAAAAACAATTTTACAGCTAATAATATGAATTTATATGTAATATTAAGAATTTTCATAATGATTATAGTTTAAATAATAAACTATCCAAGATATAACTCCAAATATAATTGAAAGGTATGTTTAATATGTTAAATTAATGCACCGTTTATAACTGCGATATCTAAAAGTTTCTTCAAAAATATCAACAACATTCCGAGGAAGATTATCCAAATCAAAATCAATCGTTTTTATATTCTTTGAAGTTTTATGTTCATCATAAAAATCTTCAATTCGTATACTATCAACTGAATTTCATATACGCCTTTGTTATAATGTTTTTTAGTTTTATATATATGCAGGACCCAAAGATGATATTCACATAAGAAATTAATTATTTTTTTTTGTACATATCCCTTAGTCAACGAGAAGGTGACATATAAAGATATAAGAATCTCTTACGAACAAAAGAATCTTGGTGTATAACAGCAATTTATTCAATAGTTAATTTAAGATGCAAAAAGAAAAAAACAAAAACTTCTGATGATTTAATTTTCTAAATAACTTTTTTTTCATTTTTAAAGAATTGTTACCCTAGTAGATGTACTGACAATGAGTTCAAGGTATTTTGTTATCAGTATGTTACAGAATCCTAGTTGAAAAGTATTTTGTAGCCAAGTGCTAACGACTCATAAAGTTCCCTAAGGTACTGAAGTATTTTAAAGATTCCTGTGAGATTTTGGGAATAGGGGTACCATGAGCTCCGTATCTTCACTAGGATAACCGTTTTTTTCTACATATTCTAATCCAATAAGAAAACAAGAATAAATGTTTCAAAATTGGAGGAGTCTTCTTTTATTCTGAATTTTCGTTTTTTTTTGTTGCACAAAAATAAAATGTTAGCATGAGTATTTGTATTGAAAAATCGAATATATGATGTATTTTCAAAATATAACTATTGAAAAAGAAAAACTTTATATCAATCTAAGAATTTCTCGAAGTCTTGGCGAAATATTAACACCAGATAATTTCCATTTCAATGAAGAAAAATCAAGTATTTCTAAAATATCTTTTTGCAATTGTAAATCTATATCATCAAATCGTCTAAAAGATATTTTATTAATAATTTTTATTAAACAAGAAATAATTAACTCACGTGAAAATATTAAAAAAATATCTTTCGGAAAAAGCTGCAATACCACTAAATTGTGTAAATGTTATTTTTTCATTGGATGATAAATCAAGTAAAACAATCACTTGTCTAATGAGTCGATTATCAATAGTACCCATATATGCATCGGCTAACGCATCAGCAAGAACCTATAGCAACTTTCATACGTTTCAAAAACTTAACAATATCATTACAAAAATTGTTATTTATTACCTCCATGTTTAATTCTGCTTCAATATCTTTATATTTATCAAAAGTACGTTTATAAAGTGCATATCGACGAGAATTCACTCGACAGTATTTTTCTAAATATTCTTTAGGTGTAAGTGCTAAACAAAAATATTTATTTGTTCTTTCATATGTTTAATGTTAAATGTTTTACTTTCAAAGAGTTTTACATCGAAAGGTATCCAAAATCGACTTGCTTTTTGAGATAGAACAACACTACTAGTACTTGTATATGAATAAAATGTCTATACAGTCAAATATAAAACAGATTCGCATAGAAACAAGTAAATTTTTGTTATAATAACACTTACTTCATTATTTTTAGTAGAGAATTCATCGAGAGTTTTGTACATCTTTGAAATTTTATCGATTTGATAAACCTATGTTTCGTCTCTTTAAATCTTTTAATTATGTTTTTAATCTATAAACTTGTATTACTTTGACGAGAACGTAAAACTTAATTGAGTAGAATACTTATTGTTGTTTTGTTTTTTCTATAAATGTGTTCGGTCATAAGCAATTTAACAATTTTAAATAAGACATTCATACAACATATAATAGAGTGAATACTTGAAAAATCTCTAGTTTCTAGTGATGATTCAAACTCGTCGGAAGAAGGAGAAAAAAAAGCGATGTTATTTCTTAAAAATGAACAATTTTTATTGGTAAAGAATTTATAAACGGAGAAATAATTATGTAAAATAAGCACGTCGATTATTTTTCAATGTTTATCCATTTGAATGAGTATTTCATTGGAATAGTAATTATCGGTCTTATGAATAGTGATGACACGAATCAGTAACATACGTTGTGAAAACTGCTTGTATACCTTCAAAGTCGATTTTTGATTTAATGCGTTGAGATTCCATGAAATTTTCTAAAAATGTTCTGTAAATGGAAGTATATCAATGAAAAAGTTTTTGCAGCTACAAGCCTTACCGTTAGGGATCTTGTCAAGTACCAAGATGACAAATAAGATATTCATGCGTGCAAATGTTTTTCCAACAAACCTCTTTTGAAAGAGAACTCTGCACCGCTTCAGATGAAGAAAAAGAGCTTTTTTTTTAAATTTTTATGTGACTTCATTTTAGAGCTCTGATGATCATGAAAGTTTGTTCGAAGTACGATTATGATTCTCTTATAGATTTACGTATTCACTGTTTTGCTTAAGAGCCCTAGAAATTCATCCAGCATTCTTAAGAAACTTTTGGAAATAAGTTTTTTTTTAAGCTAGGCATTTTTAGAGGAGTTATACCTGTATGTTAATTTCAAAGAGCGTTTTGCTTTAGAAAAACAGTTTTTTGGAGCGCGTCTTTACGTTGTGATTTTAATAGAACAAACTTTAATAAATCATTAAAAAATAATATGCAGCGACAATTTGAATAATTAAAATACAATCCCATATCTACTATGCACATAAAATCTCGAATAACAAAAAAAAGAATTTATATAACATTCTTATGGTGTATTTTACTTCGTTTTTGTCTTCTTGCAAGTATATTTAAGTTTTGTACAAAAACCTAATGAGTATGTCTGTTTGAACTAAGACATTGCTTAAAGATATATCAATGAATATTATAATTACATGGTCATTTTGCCAAGAATCGCTCAAATAATATCTAAATATATTTTTTCCACGAGGTGAATATTTGTTTTCTTTCAAATAAGTTACGATGTTCTAACAATAATAAATAACGATAATCAAACATTTGCGTTTCATTAGATTTGCTTTTCGATAAAAGCTTAACTTCAAATATATTTTCTAATAATTTCTTTTATTTTAAAGAATACTATTTGAAGACTGTTTTTGAATACATCAATGAAAGTTGAAATTGTTTTCTCTTTTCAAACGGCTTTGTTATTTATGTTGTACCCTTAGTACTAGAATTTTTTTATAGCAGTACTCTCCAACTTCTCAAATAAATTAATTGTTTTCTATCATATTGGACTTCATTATTGCTATGATTGAATTTCGATCTAATCAAAAAAAAATACGAACTAGAACTTTCATAATGTAGAAAACTTCATGATGGCTCTAGTTTAATCCGACGCTATATTTTATGCTTAAGTAAGCTTTTTGTAACGGAAATTTTGATACCACTGATTTCTCGATCTTGTCTTTATTTCTTTTGAACTATGCACATTTCCGTTACTTGTTGATGTCACTTGATCTTTTATTTCAACACTGCTCTCACCTTACATAAAACTTCTTACACCACTACGTATATCATCCACCAAAAAGAAGTGTAACGTTGGTCGAGGGTGTGGGTGTGGGTGTGGACGTGGGTGGGTGTGGGTGTGGGTGAGTGTGGGTGTGGGTGTGGATGTGGGGGTGGGGGTGTGGGCGTGAGTGTGGGTGAGTGTGGGTGTGGGTGGATGTGGGTGTGGGGGTGTGGGCGTGAGTGTGAGTGTGAATGCATGTTATTGTAGTCCACATCCACATCCACGTTCACACCCACACCCACACCCACACCCACACCCACACCCACACCCACACCCACACCCACACCCCACACCCCACACGCACAACCACACCCACACCCAAGATATCGATTATTACTGGACATCATTTATGAGTACCACCTTCTATGAAATACGTAAATTGTATATTTCAATCTCAATGGCGTTTTGCGCTGACAAATTTTTTTCATTAGTTTTTATTTAGAAGAAATTGCTTTGAGAAATATCAAGAAAAAAAAATGATTGAAAATGTTTATGCTTTTTCTGATGGTTCTAAAGATTGCTTCGATGTTGTCGAACGTAAACAACTACAACACCAACAGTAGCAAATGATAAATAGAACACTGGTAAAAATACCAATAAGTATAACTGTGCCCATTGAAAAATTTTGAATAAGTGTTGTTATATAATTATTTGATTGATGTGTCATTGAAATCTGAACTTCTTTTGACGAACGATTAAGTATGCTATTCATTCGATTGGTAAAATGGATCGATTGAATAACATTCGTGATATCTTCAAATAAAAAAGAAGTTTCTTCCCAAATATATCTAAATATTCTTTCACTAACACATTTTTCAGACATACAACTATATGTCAGTTTTTCATAATCTAATTTTTTTAAATCGATACTTTCCATTTTAATATAAAGTGATTTTGTTGTTATTGATTGATTAAGTAAACAATCGTCATAATTTAAAATTGATGTATAAGGATTAAAGCACATAACATGTGAACATTCTATAATTTTTCCAGAAACAATATAACATCGATTTGATTGAACATCGAATGTTGTTAAATTAATAAATTTATTTTTCAATTGTCCATAATTAATACCAGTGAACCAACGAATCCATCGATTTATAAATGCTTTATCACATAGATCATCCGATGAACATGAATATTCAATTGAACTAATTATAGAATCATTATATTCAGATAATAAAAAATTTGTTTCAAAAGTTAATTTATTAACAGTATAATTTATATTTTGTTTGAATTGAATTGTAACATCACTATCTATTTCATTATAATCAATTAATATTTTAACGGAACATAAATTATCTTTTATATTCGAATCAGTGGTTTTATTTGTAAGCTTTTCTAATGTAAAAGATTCATTGGATGATCGAATTTCCTTTAGTGAAATTTTAAATAAATCATTACTTATACAAATCAGATTATCAACATAATAAATGTTTAAAAAATTAATTAGCAGAATAAAGATTATTTTTACCATCATCATAATCAATTTCTAACGAGGATTTTGTATCGTTTGCTTCTTCCTTTAAATAAGAATAAAAACGTCGAATGATTCTTTTTGTTCGTTATCAATGAAAAAGAAAAAATGACTCTCTTATTCTTCAATATACAGACTTTATATAAACAAAAAAGAGAAGCTATCAAAGAAATATGTTTAAGAAAAAAAGAAGCCAAGTGCAAGATAATATAAACAGATATAAAATAAATGAGAACAAAACATGACTAAAGTAAAATGTGTGAGGAATGAAAAGTCATTGGAATGTATTTTATCGCAGTGATAAATTATACCAGAGATTCTACAGAGTAGGACAAAGCTACCTGATCCTGTGGAATGGCAAGAAAAGGTATTGATGCCTTGAAAATTTCAAAGGCGAGACTATTTTTATTAAAAAAAGTGCCATAATTTACTTCAAAAATCTTTTTTCAAATAACATACAGAAACAACTCAAATGTGTTTATCAGAAGGTACCTAGAATTATCGTGTATCTATGAGAAATGAATATTCGAGTATAGATGTAACATTTTTGTTTATCCAGTCATACGTTTACATACTCATAAACGAAAATTGTTAGAACGATTCAAAATTGAAACTGATCATAATTTCATAATTATCTTGACTTTTGGTATGTATTTAATTCATATGGAACAGTATGCAAAGAGTATATCATTTTTCTGACACTGATCGTATCGTACAAAACTCAAAGAATATCAACTGTACTTTACTCTTAAAGAATTTGTTTGACCTCATATGAAAAATAGTGAATATGACCTTGAATTAGAATGTTAAGAAGGAGCAATGAAAGAAATTGATATAAACAATCATAATATGATCATAAAAATTCATACAAATATGGCAGTTGTCTTCTTTTCGAATAAAAATATGATTGCTGGTTTTGAACATTGTCAAAAATTACTTGAGATGTTAAATGATTCTTATCTATTCGATTCTGTGACATAGTCTGATGTGTTTATCTTATAGATCATTTCGATATTGATATTGAACATTGTCAAAAATCATTATTAATTCGAACAACTATCTTTTCTGATAATGATCCAATTCTGATTTTAACTTATGGTAAACTCACTAATCGTTGTGATGAAAATAAGTAATATAGTAGAATATTGTATCAAGTCGATAGGCCTTTATGAAAAATATTCATCAGAAAAATGACTTTTTTTTGGAAAATAAAGTTACACTTTTTACAAATATTGCTCGTTGTTATATTGTCTGAAAACAATTTCCCTTATCAGGAGTGAACTTTGAAAAAGCTTTCGAAGTACAAGAGAAAACTATCAGGAAAATGATTATTCTTCAGCGTTAGAAACCTACGAATAAATTAAAGAATTATTTGAAAATTCAAAACTGAATGACTAAAATCAGTAAAACATACCGTAAAACAAATTGTTATAATATTACTATTGACAACTCGACAAAATCATTGTAACAATCAATATAATTTAGCATTAGAGAATAATGAAATATTTAGCTATGTTTATTATCATATTGAAGATAAAATATTGACTGAAATATATTCTAGAAAAAGCATTAGGACTCTATATAACAAGTGATACTCATGAAGATGTTAAACGAATAGAAAACATTTTGCAGAACACTTTTAGCTTGAAGTTCGAAATGCTTCTAACAAAAATAATAATCATGTTATTATTTATCGTTCTATTTGTTGTTCGATTTCTAAACACTTCGAAACTTTTCACTTTTTTAAACTCCTTGTGAAGAAAAATCATTTTTCTTACTATTCACGTAAAACTTGGACAGTTGAAATATCGTTTCAACGATCATTTCGCTATTTCGAAATATTATTTAGATTAAATTATTATTAAAACAATAGGTAGAGTCAATTTATCTCTAGAGAATGTATTCAAGGTGCTCATTTTTCTTCAAGATTATTTGAAATACAAAGAGTGACTATTTATGAGGCGAATTTTATAACACGACAATAGAAACATCTAAGAAAGTTTGTAATTCTTGTCATTCGAGATTTTCATGATTGATAAAATATATGGTTATGTAGTTGGAAGTTTCCTCTACTGAAAGGAGGGTCATACGCTGAGTGAGCTATCTTCGTTCGTTCGTATGTTCGTATGTTCGTTCAGTCATAGTGGCACTAGGTGATTCATTTCAACACGTAAAATAAAGCTTGACCGAAGGCTTTTTGGGTCGAGGAATTCAAATCTGGTATTAGTTTTTAAAAATTTTTCACTCAAATTTTTTGCAAAAAAACACCTTTTTACCAATAAAAGTTTTTTTCTGTAAAGTTTGACCAAAGGTTTTTGGGGTCTAGGAATTCAAATCTGGTATCAGTTTTTAAAAATTTTGTGTCGAATTTTTTTTATAAAAAAGCATTTTTTTACGAAAAACTTGAGTTTTTATAAAGGGTGGGTGTGGGTGTGGGTGGGGTGTGGGTGTGGGTGTGGGGGTGGGGTATGGGTGGGATAAAAGATAAAACACAAAATTACGCTTACATCCACACCTGCACCCACACTCACGCCCACCCACACCCACACCCATACCCACACCCCACACCCACACTCACACCCACACCCGTCTTGTTTGTGTAGGACCAGAAATCGCTTATTCGGTCGCACGCCTACATGAAATACGTGTGTGGGTGGTATTTTTAAACGTTGTTCCGCTATAAGAATATATTCATCATCGTTATGACTTTTAGATTCATTGTAAAATCGATTAGATTTTTTGATGCCTGGTCGTTTAAAATATGCAAGTCGCCGACGTCCATCTATGTGCAAATTTTTTCTTGGAGTCAGATCATTTCTAATAATACAAAGTCGTGATAATTTGGGAACGACGCAAACAATATGAATTCGAATAGAATTTGCAATAGTAATAGATAGTGAGAGAACATATTGAACACTTAAGCGAGATCTATCAGCCAATTGTAGAAATAAAGATGATGGAGAAAATCGAGCTCGTTGACGAAAATGGGAAGGTAGCTATGAAAATAATCTTTTATTAATAAGTGTTAATGAAGGTTTTGAGTCAATAAGTAAACGGATTGGAGTTTGAAATATTGAGTACATGAATTTTAGCTATCGTGTGGACGAGTCGTTTCATAAACGAGTGTTGTTGCCCCGTCGCATCAACTCTCCGCGCTCGTTTTTTGGATACGCTCTCGACATCTCTGGCTGATAATTGTTGGTACGACTATTAGGACAGTCTCTTGTTAAATGTCCAAAAAGTCCACAGTTGTAGCATTTAATTGCGTTCATTTGTTGCGTTGCATTTTTGTCGGTAGTTATTTGAGCGTTATAATTTTACTTTTGTGATGGTTTCTAGATGTCTCATCAGTTTGTTGTGCCGTTCCTGGGTCATTGGAGTGGAACCATTTTATCATTTGTAGGATATTCTATTCTTGTAGTCTGTAGTGACTTGCGTTGGTTACTATAGCCATTATTGTAACATTGACTATGAAATGATGTATCCTCTTGAAACGAAACTTGTTTCAGATACGCGAATCAACGTTGTTCTTTGTTACGATGATATAAAATTTCTTCAACTTTCTGGGCTTCCATGATAATCTCGTTCAATGAGGTATCAGGAGATATTCCGATCATACTAAGTAAATCACTACGCATCTTGCATAGCAAATGTCTAACCAAGTCAACTTCGGTTTCTTTCGGTTTTTGCTCTGTCCATATGGCTCGTAAACAGACTAAGAACTCATTAATTGTTCCATTTTCTCGTTGCTTGCATTCGTATCACTCTTGTTCTTGACGTGCGGTTCGCATCGGAGAATTGAATTGTGAGAGAAATAAATCAACAAAATTCTGTCCATGTTTTAGGTTACCGATGAGCAGCTCTTAATTGGCAATACCATTCCAAAGCGGTATCTCGTAAAAATTGAGAGATGCCGTGGAGTAAACTAGTTCGATCCCAACTGAAAACCGTTTCAACGTATTCTTGCACACGAATCAAGAATTGATTCGGACGGTTCGAGTGTCTCCCAGAAAAAGTTGGTATTGTTGATGCTGGTGGTATTACAATTGCATGTGACATCGGCGTCACGGTTGCATTCTTAGAAACGTGAACCACATAATTAATGACATGTTCTGATTGAGATGTGGCACTCAACATTCGTTGTGTCGGTGTTGAGTGGTTGACATCAGTAATGCAGTGTTCCTGTACAGTAGATTGATCTAATCGTTCTTCTTTCGTCAAATTTTCTAATTGTTGCAAAACCATCTTTAGTAGCTGTTGATACTCTTCTAGTTTTGACATTGTTTTAGCGTGCCGTTCTCCAGTTTGTGCTTGTGTTTCGTCGATTCGACCTGATAAATCTTCACGAAGTTTTGATAAAGCTGTTGACGTTTCTTTATGTCGATTAATACTAATGTTATAAATTTCTTTGACTTGATCTTCTAAATGTTTCACTCGATCTGTAATACGCGAACATGTTTCTAAGAGGTAATGAACAGTTTTTTCCACTGTAACTTTTCTTGTGCGGTATTTTCAGTTGTCATCTTGCTACCGTATCGTTTTGATGCATCTTGAAAAGTTGATCAGAATTGCTGTTGTTGGTACTTCTCCATAGATGTCATAATACCGATACGGTGGGTATCGACCACCAGCCGTCACGATACCCACCAGAATGAACAACGAAAGTATATTGATACAATCATCACTTACAGTAACGACCTCGTTACGTAACATGAACTATGTATTTTAGAAGTTGAG